TTCTCTTCTTTTATAATAAGGAATTAGTTGGGAAAGTTTGTCAGGTTAGAAATAAAAAGGTTTCTTGCAAATTCTGTTTTGATAATTTTATTATTACTGAGGTCAAGATAGAAAATTTGAAAGAGTTGGTTCCAATTCTAATAAATTGTTATATATAAGAACTATTTTTTGTTATTGTTAATTGTGAGGTTTTCCATTATGAGAGTTACAATATTTAGTAATTTTGAGTACTTGGAAGTGCTTAGAAAATAAAGGTTTCTTGAAGGAACTATTATCAAATAAGAAAATTTTCAAGTAAAAAAGGATTTACAAGAAAGAGTTTTTTTTATTTAATTCAATATTTTATTTAACAACATTCTATTTAACTTTCATTCAAAAATCTCCTATTTAATATTATTTTAATAATACAAAGAATAAATGGCAAGTTTATTACTAATGTCAACAAAAATTTATATAATTGTTATTAGTAATTTAAGATAGAAAATATATAATTTGAAATATGACTTAATAAAGTTTTTATGCATTTTATTAATAAAATTTTATTTATTTATTTCTTAATTATTATATAAAATATATAAAATATAATAATTTTAAAATAACTAAAAGTGTTATAAATCTATAATATAATAGTAATGCTTCATAGATTACCAGAAGAAAGTCTAATATTTAAACTTACCTAATTACAAAAAATTATTATCTTTATAATTAATTGACCAGCTTCCAATTTATATTATATCCAATTAGCTAAAAATCAACTTTCAAATTTAATAAGGCTATATGAAAATATAATCTCTAATCTTTTTAATGATTATAAACTGAAAATAGGTCAAAGCAAGAAAGGTTGTATAAGAAAAGGCTTCTAATTTAACACTAGCAATAAGCCTATAGACTCTCAACCCAAACTAGAGACAATAGACTCTATTATATAAGGAAGCTAATCCTAAGCTGATCTATTTCAATCTGGAGCTTAAAGATCTATCTCAAGAGTAGTTTTTTCTTGAACTTAAATAAACTGAAAAGGCAAAGGTTATTTGCTACAAGTGATAACAATTTAGGAAAAAATTGTTAAGACCAAGTGAGTCTAGTGAGAATCATAAAGAATAAATCAGAATCAAAACAAGAATACCAGTTTTATAGGTGATAAAAATGGTAGTACAATGTTATACTAGTAATACATCTCAAGGATTTAGTAATAACAGTAATAGAAATATCGAGATTAGTCTTTATAATAATATTTCATAAATACATTACCTTCTGCAATAATGAACTTAATAGATTAGATGGATTTAAATTAATAATAAGATTTTTACTTTTGCAAAAAGTTCTATTTGATATATAGATATACTTTTGAGTATTTAAATAAATATATAATTAGGTAAATGGTAGTTGATATAGCTAGTTTGATAGAATATAAATACTAGATAGTGTTAATCTATAAATTAGTTATAAAAATATAAATAATATTTATTGTATCAACCGATTTCTAATTAATTTATAAAGATACTTGATGTCTATTTAGATATATAAATGTATTGATAAAGATTATACACTCTGCATATATCCACTATAAAAAAATAACTAAAAAATAACTAAAAGTGATTATATAAGGATTATATAATTAATTTCTATAATATTATTATCATTACTTATGATTATTATATTATATAATTGTAATAGGATCAGATCCAACACTATTTAGTATAAATAAATTATATAATGACATAATATTATTATTTGTTATATACAGTAGTACCTAAAATTTTTTAAAAAATTAAAAATTATATTATTATTTAATAAATATTAATTTAAAAAATATAAAAAAATTAAATATAAATCTTTTAGTATTAATAAATAATTTTAATTAGTAATATTTTCTAACTATTACTTTTTTTTTTCAAATGTCATGTTTTAAAAAATATATTAATTTTATATTATTTATTATAAAAAATCATATAAAATCATATAAAAAAACTTAAATTTTATGAAAATCAAGTCATAAAATTAATATATAACATAAAATTTTTAATTAAAAATAATTATTTAAAATAATAATAATAATATAATCTATAAACTAGTTATAAGTAAAAGTAATTTTATAGTATTTATGTATTTATATTTAAATTCGTGTTTAATTTTGATAAGTTTTTATTGAGTTATATATATTAAGAAAAATTTCAAATAATTTTGGATACTTTTGTAATACATATGATTTTCCATACATACATTTTTACTTTTATTATATTAATTATATATCTATATCTATATTATTATAGTATTCATTAGAGTTGTACAAAAATTTTATTATTAAACTTTTTTATTTTATTTTTTACAATAAAAATCAATTGTTTTTTTAATTTTTATTATTTTAATAATAATTTGTTTTTTCAAATTGGTTTGATATTAGTATCAAGAAAAAAAATATTATTGATCTTCAAGAATAATAAAATAAAGTCTAAAATATCAACTCTCAAAAATACTCTAGGCGATTTTATTTTAAATAGGTATATAAAATAATTATATTCTAACAAAGTCTTGACACTATATTTAAAATATTGATCAGAGTTTTCTATCTATTATAGTATCACATATCAAAATCTATTACTAATTAATCTATATCCATTTAGTTACAATAAATTTATTACATAGTCATATAGTCTATAAGTTAAAAACTTTTTTTGAATTCTGTTCTCAATTTAGAACTTTTGAAATTCCAATATAATTGATTTCTATTATAGTCGATATAATTATAACCATTAGAACAATTTACTTTTTGAGAAGTTATGTCTTATTGTTGGGATAATTATCTGTCTTGCGAGAATTCAATGCTTGAGTTTTTAATGATTTAGGTCTATTCTTATATTTTCAATAGGCTATTTGTATAATTTTTGCTTTCTCAAAATCAATATTTGATTTATTACATTTGTGATTCCAATGTTCCAGACTTAGGTCTTTAGGTTTGAGATAATCAATATATCGCTGTCTAATAAAATAGAATTATTTTTTAAAATTCACATCATCAATTCTAAGAGTTTCCAACAATTAAAGCAAATAGCCATATGACTTTTATGAATTCTTGACCTATAATAATGGAAATTATTAAATTTATCTTTACCATATGGCATAAATAAACAATATCGATGATATATACTAAATTTTTCTAAATTTAACAAATCTTGTAATAAAATTCTTACTCATATTACCAATTGAACAGGTGTTTCATTTTATTTTATGGTAGATAAAGTATCAAATAATCTCTCATTATCAAAAATTTGATTGAGTTCATTAGCATAAGTTCCACCATAACATAATATACGTATATAATACAGCATACTTGATATCACAATCAGGATGATTAATATATGGTTTAGGAGGTGTTTTTTTTTTTTATAATTAATAGTAGGGATATAAAAACCGGGCATATTTATTTATCGATTAGAATATTTAGACCTATTTGATTTAATAACTTTATACTTTAATATAAAGCGATTCAATTTTAGTGCAGATATTCGAAGAGTGTCCTATAGGCCTGGGTTATTGGATAAGTTATATATATTGTCCTATTTTGTGTGTGATATATATAATGAGAATGGAAGAGATAAATACTAGGTTATAGCGATTCTAAAGAATTTATTTGTGGCGATATTTATGTATAAATCATTTGTGTATTATGAATATATTAATATTATCTAATTTTCCGGCGATAGATATACTATAACCATCACACATCGATTAACAAGATATCAACCGTGATGCGTATATATAACGAAAAGGAGCATGAACGAATAGCGTATACTTTTACAAGAAGTGTGGGAAAAGGTAAATGAGGTACATATGTCGCAGTAAAAAAACTTTATATTATTGGTCGAAGTGTGACATCAATTTCACAGTCAATCGTATAAATTATATGAAAAATTAGAGTACGATTTAGCCACGAAGTGTCAGCCTCCGGCAATAATATGACTCTATTATTTATACCTGGAGAAAATTGAAGTTGTTATCAAGGTAAAGCTATGTAAGAGTTATTTCCAAAATTTTGCTAATTACAATATCAACGTCATCCTAAGACCAATTTAAAATCATTGTTGCATTAAAAGTTTTAATCCGACCTATTATTTCCTTTCCACCAATATTATTAAAAAGTCTAAAAATCTTTTTACCTCTTTTTTTTCTTTTTCGAAGATTGGTCTCAGTAAGGTTATCTACCGCTGAAATCTGTTCCCTAATTTTATCGTTAGCTCTTGCATTAGATACATCATCACTACATGACTGTAAAATGATCGTATTACTAGGTGAGATTTCTGGATGAGTTGTCAATTCTTTGATTAGTTTTTTCAAGGTTGGTGAGTCTTCTTTTTAGCTGGCTTAGTTTTTTTGTTGTGGGAAGTATCGATAAAAGTAGGTTCGTTAACACATTTTTGTGGTAAAACAGCAGTTGTACTAGATTTTTCCTTGACACGATTCTCGGCTTCTTCATTTCTATCCAGAATCATTGGTTGATCCTGGGACGAAGTTTTTTGAGAAGAACTAAATACATCATTATGGGTGAATTCATCAGCCAGATTTAGTAAGTTTTTTGATCCTAGCTTTCTTACTGGCTGGGGGGAATTATCTACACAGATCTGATCCTTTAAAAACCCAACGACAATCCCGATTACCTTTTTCACATTGCTTCGGAGAATATAGAGATTTTTTTAACTGCTGTCTTCGAGAGATTTATCTGATGCTCACTATTACTCGTGGCATCCGGGGTATACTGTATATGATGAATGCCATTCCATGACTAAAAATAAATTCACATTAGCGTTAGAAAAATCAGGGAAATCACGTGCGTGTTATTTTTGGAACGCCGATCACTTTTTGCCAAACGTAAGATTGTAGTCACATGAAATATATTATTTAAAATAGGCGGAAATTTTACTAACCTTATTGCAGTACCTAAAAAATCTTTACAAACAAAAAATAATTACAAATTTCTGATATGTATAATATTCTAATTGTAATCACATGAATCGAGGCAAAATGCGAGAAATCATGTGAAGTCCTTTTCGGAAATAAAAATTCTTCATTGATCTCTTTGTTTTTACATTCACTCGTTCTTTGCTAATTTGATCCATGTTGCATATTTGCCCAAGAGAAACGGTATGAATGGTTTTGACTTTATTATTACGGATAGATTTGTATGCTCTTCCAGCAAATGGTCCAAAATAGTTCGTAAAAGCATTTATAACTACGATTCCAGACCTTTTCGGAATTTCAGCATTACAATTTGCAGTTGTAAAGAGGATAAAAAAATCATTTTCCGATGCAGATTTTTCACGCTCTTCCTGGTACTCCTTTTTACTGACTGCTTTTTCCCGCAATTTAAATTGGTGAATTTCATTCGAATTCTCGGTACCCGGTCGATCTAATGAAAGGAAGGAATCTCCATATGGTGAAGCAGGGGCATTAATTATACAATGTTTGAATTGCCGGACATCAACGGTAGAATTACTGCAATCAACATTCCATTCGCTTGCAGTGATATTTTTAGATCTTGTGTCTGTATAATGTTTTGCAATTTCAAGTTGTAGATTGTGGTTTTTAAATTGCATATCACCATTCAAACGTGCTCCCGCGTGAACATCTGAGATCGTTACTAACTCATCTTCTTCAATCACAGCTGACTTTATACAACGAAATGATGCGACGAATTTTTCAAAACTCTGCCATGACTTTGCTTGTAATGATGTTACTGAATTCAAGAGTGCTCTTTGTTTCTCCATAATCAGCGAACTCACAATCTCGAAGTATTGGATCTCCTTGCTGTTGAGATAACTCTACAAATATCCAGAGCCAGATGTATGGCGCAACGAGGTATCCGTTTGGGGTATTTTCTATTTGTTCGAATCGAATTAACCCACCCCCAGCAAATTGATCTGGTGTTTTGTTAGTTTTAGAAAGAGGAATATATCTATTTAAGATACGTCGAGTCAATATTTCCCGTGCAATAGGCCTGGCATCGTCCACAGAACTAAAAATAGCATCACGGTATTTTTCAGTAAGTTTAGAACGCAGATCGTTCATCAAAGTATTGACGTTGCATTCTTCAACGTTACGACCAGCCAAGCAATCATTCAGAACTTCTAGTGCTCTTCCATGCCCTCCACAGTCTTCCACAAGAATATTGGTAATCTCGTCATTTTTAAAGACCGGGACCAAACCATCTACTTGTCGATAGCTCGGAGGTTGTAGAGAAGTGACCGGTAGGTATATATGTTTCCGCTGAGAATATCTCAACATACCATCAATCGGCCCAGTGATAGTTGAGGTACAAACAGGTATCACAAAAGTGCCACTAAATGCAAGATCTGCGACA